TTATATTATATATGTATATGTATATGTATATGTATATGTATATGTATGTATATATATATATATATATATAGGCAGGTGTACGTGTTTGTGTTTAGATATTCATATATACATTTACTGAGAAATGTTTGAATGTTGGATGATTTTGCTTCAATTGAATTTCAATCCCTTTCATAATATCAAAATTTATGTTCGAGCTCGAAATATATTGTTTTGCGCTTTCTTCTTTGTCCTTTTACAATAAGATTGCCACAGAGATAATTCGCGAGTAGTTGTGGTGATGAGTTATGACGTCAAATTTGTTCTTCAATGTGTCATCGAAGTTTATAGAATGCACAGACTAAGCCCCCTGAACCGCGATAAACCTATCAATATTGCATCTGTCGACATCATTGCGCATCATATTAACACACATGTGACACATTCCTTGATTTCGACTGCAGAACTTTGGCATCGTTGAGGAAGGCTTATATCGATGTGGGCAACCGAACGAACTAAACTTTCCTTTCATGGAGAAACTCAAGTTGAAAAGAGTCATCTTCCTGGCACCCGAGGAACCACACAGAGAATTGTGCGTAAGCGTTTTTGAATTTGGGTAGTTGTTTTGGAGTATCGCGCGTATGCATCGCGCTTTCCTTACTTGAAAAGTATATGCAGCACAAAATCCTTGTGCTGTACAGCGGATTGATTTTTATCTTCTGTTGTAGGTGGAATCTTCATATATTACATTTGAAGTTTTATCGTGCCATCAGTTGACCTAACAATACGGCCCCTTGCAGCACTAGTGCTAATGCAACAATTCTGGTGAGACACAAAGTTGAGAGCATCTACATGAACAATCGTATTGTCTGGGTTATACCATTGAGCACTAAGATGTCAATCGAGAGCAATGGAGAATTCGTCAGAGATAGGTATTGATCGATGCTACAGTAAAAACTGGCCCTAAATCGTCTGTCGTTCACTCGCTCTAACAAGCTTTCAAAATAGTCTAGAGCTTTGTATATGTATACTCTACTTTGGTGCTAGTAATCGCTCATTCGTAGCTTGTATATATAGCTGCTATCTGAGTTATTCCATCGGGTAGGGCTGAAATAGCATCTTAATTACAACACCTGGCACGCAGGCTGAACTTCGTGGATGATCATGATATCGAACTATTGCATCTGGGAAAGAGTAGTCATCATAGACACGCGTGGACACCGATTGAAGAAGAGACAGTGGTGGATACCATGCGCTTAGCACTCGATCCTAAGCTCAATTACCCGCTCATGATTATGTGCAATCTAGGGAGGCATCGTACAGGTATGATTCACGGCGCAGCACCCAACCACAAGTGCTTGCAGATTGGAGAATCTCACGTATCTTTTATTTGTAAGCTTTCAAAAATTGTTCGGCGTTTTAACTGACATGAACTCTTAAAAAGCGTTAGACAGCGCTAGCAGTTCAAATACCGTCTGTAGACTTCGTGGCGCGCTCTCTTCGTACGTTTGCTACGTAGCATGACTGTGATGACGTTCTTTACTTTGATCCTATTCCACTCGAGATTGTATTGCCCGGAAATTCCCGCAAATTTGGAATGTATGGATATGTGAATGTTGAGTGTTTGAGACATTGTATAGTATAACGTATAAATACTACATATGAGTGTGTGGGCTAGATATCGCATCACTACCTACCTGTATTGGTTTGGGAAGTGAAGTGTAGTAGAGGTTGGTACAAGCTCGAATATTTGCTATTCATTGCTGGGTTTAACCAAAATTGGACACTACGACACACCCTGCTTTCACTAGGTACCTTTATTGGATGCCTGCGCAAACTGCAGAGGTGGAATTTAACAAGCATATTCGAGGAGTACAGGAGATATGCAGGATCGAAAGTATGGCTTGTGTTTATTTCTGATGGTTCTTAACCAATAGACCTATTTGGTTGTTTTCAACAATGCGAACGTAATTTAGCCGAAGGAAGATAGTATATTGGATATTTCGCGCTACTTCATGTAGCGCAGAGAATCAACACCATCTACCAAATTAATTGCGATGTAATAAGGCCCTGACTTCTCAATGTCGATGTTCTTGCCCTTCTCGAAACTGATATACCTCCCGTGCCTTCATGTCCAGGTGCGTCTGATGAATGAACAATTCATAGAGTTCTTCGATACGGATTTGATCAGCATCCCCGTCGAGCACCCGAACTGGTTGTGTGGGTGTCGTGCACACGCACAGCCAGATATACAAGCAGACAAGGCTCAGCGGTTCGTGAACTGCGAGACGGATTGCCACCGCTATCATTCATAGACAAATGGTATCAATGACACTACTATTATAGACTTTACATGGTTCGTAAACGAGCTCGGCGCAAATCGTCGCATTCATGCGACCACACATCTAGAACGGTTTCGAATTACAGGCTTGATAGAATGCACTTAATCAATGCAAGTCTAGGGTAACACCCAGTCTGGTGGTCGGTAGCCCATATACGAGCGCTGGGCGATTGTTTTGAGCACTTTGATGCACGAAGCTTTTGAGTATAACATGTACTCGTCGGAAAAATTGTTACTACCTTTCATTTGTATGCTTGCTATTTTTATCTGCTCGCACGATATGGCCACAGGAGGTGCATAGAATTCGCGCGTATGATTCTTGATGTGTAACATGAAGTGCCACGGCTTCATGCTTGGGAGTCAATAGACCTAAGCTTATATAGGCTATACTGCCTAGGGTTGGGCTCCAAATGGCTAGGTCAGATAATACTATCGGTATAATTAATTCCTAAAAGCAAACACCAGCATGTGAAGGCCGCAAGTACTGGGAACCCCTGCCCGCAATGAAGCTCTGCTCTGCCTCATTATATAGTTCATGGCTATTATGTTTCACCCTAAAACAGGTACAATATATTGTATCCTCTTCTTGCGCTTCTAGAACATGCCTCTGGATATCTCCCTCATCTGGTTTCTAGATAAAATCTCGAATTCGCTGACGAGGTTATATACTGAATTCAACTGAACGGTGTGCCCTCGGCACCTCCTGAGAATACTGGGCTTCATTTGGCGCCACTGTGGAAAGTGCGGAGGGAACAGCACGTACGTGTTTCGATTCGGAAGAATAGCTTCGAGATCGCAATCAATGATAAATACTGCCGGTATCGTTCATCGTTCAATGCTATTCTAGTCCGAGATATCTTGCGCCAAATAAATTGAAACTTATCCCTTACCATACCCCTCACTTCATCTATAACTTGAGGGCGGAGTGCTCGTGTAGCATGATATGATTAGGTGATACCCTAAGTAGAAGTAATAATAGTGACTGTCAGCCGGTTACCGTGTTCCTAGGTTTTCTCACTTTGAAATAAATTTTGAAGCCCCACCCTTACTCTGAGGCATGTTTATACATTTTTCGAATTACGTGTTCACTTCAGAACAGTCCACTCGATCGTATAGATGCTACAGAAAGCCGCCTAAACCATATCTACTTGTCCTTCTCGGTACACCTGTGGTGCTTCGATTGCGCGCTAGGACGATGGGCAGCGCCCGTTTTTGTCAAGCTCAGAATCATTCAAGGTTGTACAACTCCAAAATAGCACAACAGCAACCAAAACAATCCCGAGATTGGGGAAGCAATAGAAAACGCTGCTTAGCAAGAGACCAGATTGTCTGTGATTAGTCAGGACATCGTCAGTCATCCGTCGAATGTTGTTTGCTAACCCCAACTTACGTGTCATTGTTCTTTAACTTTCTAGTGTCATTTGCTGCTTCAACTGCGCATTGTAGCTGAATATTATTTGCCAGAATACTTCATTCTGTAGACTAGCCCAGCAACACTTGTGAACAAATCCAAATTTCCATATCACGATTTGAAGCGGATTCAAACATGATTTTCAATTGAGAATAGCCTAGAAACTCTGATTTGAAATTCGTGAAACTGTTTTAATTTGTAGGAAAAATGTATCCACTACAGCACCATGGAATTTTTGGTGGCGCGTGCCTTATTGAAATAATCGGCGATTAAAAATGCCATATCCATGCTTTGCCCGTAGTTTAGACGAGGATCACAGAAAGTCTCGTAATTCGTCCCTAGGTCCGTGTCTTTAAGATTTTCTGAGCCTCCAGTACACTCTGTGACATTATCTGCAATGAAATAATTGAAACAGCACATTTTAGCATAATATTTGAAGTTAAGTACTGTACTATATAGATGACAACTTCGACAGGAGCCGCATAGCCGGACAATCTTGATCTCTATCACAAATACTAAGTGCACCTTTGCGAGTCACGCCGCAGGCTTTGATGCACGATGCCCTGTAGCATCTATCATTACTTGAGAAATTATATCCCACGAATACAATATACAAAAGCATGTATATATACACATAACAACATGCATACGTAATAGATATTTGCTTCATCAGGAGCTAGCAGCTTTACGTGCGGACTAGCTTCTCAAACAAGATTGTGCGTGTATGTGTGCTGCATGTCTTCTATATTTCTGCATACTTCCCATTTTCAAAGTTCTGCATCAGGGTCTAAGTAACGTCCCGATAGATCCAAATAAAGATACACAGCATTTACAGTTAATATATTTATGTGCACGTGCCCGTGGTCTGTGGTAGTCATTTCCAGCAATGGACAGATTAATACCTTGTATACTATGAGTGATCTAGGTCTAGAATCAACCCGATATTCATTCGATCTGACAAACGAGCGACTGGCACATGCACCAAGGTAAAATGGGTTTCACACCGAGAAAGTATTGTAAGTGAGAAGCAGAGTGGTCTCCTTTTTAGCACCTTTTGACCTAAATTGCACACACCTCCAGTAAGTTCAAAATGAACCCCGCCCAATCGGCCTCTGTGTTCCTTATGTATGTTAAATGCACTCCTGAGCTCAGAAAGGACATTGTCGAAGCTGTAAACAAAATATAAAGGGAAGATTACGTACGAGCATTCATATCAACTGAAGACCCCACCGGATAGCTATAAAGTCCATTTCTCAATCTCACGTAAATATATGAAATCATTTAGACCATACCTTCGTGTTTTGTAGCCAGATTGAGAGGATTCGGTATTGCCATGCATTGGATCACATACCCAAACTACTTTAAGTCCTGCTTCCTGAACCGCTTTGATATGTGCAGGTAAATAATTCCTGCGCGAGAAAATGTGTAAAATTTTAATAGAGCTACACCTTTAGAGCTTTCAGTGACATACATTATGACACTCATCCACGGGTACTAAAGTATACGCCCCCCCAAGACAGCCTCTATGGGCTGAGAGCAACCAGCAATAAGCCACGTAAGGGCTTTAAACTTATAGATACATGCATGATCTGTATTTTAGCGCTTAACCAGTCGCATATACCTGAGCTATGGAAAGCGCTATAAGAGTGAATTGCAAACTTCTATCCTATCTGCACCACTTCGCAATATATACCACCCGACAACTATCGGGCAGATAAGCTGGTTTGACCAGTGTATGTTCCAAGGAAATAAACCCCTATTTTATGCGCCTTAACTACGAGCATCCTTAATTTAAATTTCAATCTAAAGCGTTCAGCTCACAGTCTGCAGAAAATCAGTCCAGTTGTCACCAATGTGTGGTTCCCTAATAAATGTGCCTAACTATCGAACTGTCAGCTACAGGCACAAAATACATCGATTTAGCAGGGCAAACACACTGTAATTTGACAGAACCTCAAGGTAAACCAAAGATCACCCGTGTTACTAACTATGAACCATTCATTCCAACCCAAACCACAAATTCCTGGCAAGCCCTTTGTTACATGAATTCCACCGAAATAATGATCTTTTGTTTGGCAAAAGTATAATATTTTCCATCTCAAGCCATACACGGAGAAGCGCACAACTTTGATGCAGGACCTAGTCGACACTGAAAGAAAACATCACGAAAAGGGATGTAAGGAGAAATACTCTTTTTGTTATAGCTTAGCACACTTTCAAACACTCACAGCACACACGCAAACGAATCTACACGCATACTTGATGTTGGCGTGACCATATCGCGTGATAATGCTCAATCTGCCCGCCTGTTGGTCAGGGTCGAGTATACGAATCAGACGCACGAGCTCTTCTGGTTCCATAGAGGGCCCACATTTTACACCTGTCGCATCAGTACACGCGTATAATGATGTTTGCACGGATATATTGTGAGACCGTCAAGTAGCTGTGCTCTGCAGCGCATGACACCTGTGATCTCACTACCCACAAAATATTCATAGGCCGCGTGTACTTTGAATGAGTCTGTAGCTGAAAACCCTTTCTACTTCACACCTATCAAAAGTACGAGCAAGCTATATTCTGAACAGTTGGTACTTTGCGATGATTGCTTGGCTCTAAACCAATTATCACCCAGGCGCATTGATATTGGACAACTGTGACAATGGCCATGCACCATACTGTGTAGCGGAATAAAAATCATGGAATCCTCGTTATAGAAGTAGTATACGTGTACACTAGTCACGTCTCTAAGTTGAATCTGGCTTGCAGGTAAGCTTCGAAAATTAAAATGACCGTGAGGTTTCACATTTCATAGAAGTCAGGAAGACACGTACAATCAATCATTTTGGTGCCCATCTGGCAGAACTTGCAATCAAATTCTACACTGAGAGGTATGGACTTTCAAGGCGCACACGCGCGCAATATTAGCAGCCGACACATTGTTAGTACTTCAGATGTGCCTTTTAAATCGAACTTGATTTCATCATGAAATATAAACACTTCCAAAAAAAAAACTCGTGAAAAAAAACTCACCACGTTAATTCACGGATTGTGCAAGGAAGAGCTTTCTTTGAGCTGCCATGTCCATCAATCGCATGCAACATTTAAAGAAAAATTGACGACGAACATGTGTACATGCGACTGAGGGTGTCAAAACATGAACAGCTGTGCTGGATGGAGAGTATGGAAGTACGGTACGGAATTGCTCGCGCAGTCGACTCAAAACCATGCACATCTTCTTGTACAGCTGCTTCCCTTCTTACAGACACGTCAACAGTTTCAATAGCAGTTGAGAAAGCTCAAATTGCCCCAACAAGTCCATCCCTACGCATGCGCACGTACAGGCTTTCTTACATACATACCAATTGGGTTGGCGATACCGCGGAAGTATTCGATGTGAGCTCCAGTGATCTCGCGTGTCCTATCGCCAATCCAGATATAATGTGCGCTTGTGTTGTAGTGTTTTGCGCCTTCACCAGTTCCTATTGTGTATGTACAGAAAAAGAAGTTTTGCTTTGTGTATTCCATTTTCCATTCTGGGTTATTTGCATGTACGATGGGTACTGTTTGCAAACATCATGTTTGGAGCAAACATAGGGCGCTGTCAATATAGATCACATCAAGGCTACAAAAGCGTGTTTATTTCAGCAGGCTTAGAAAACAATCGAGCTGCCTGTTACGGCCTGGGTTCACTGGCATACATGCAACAATGATATCTATCACAAAAATCAAACAAGACACACATCCATCACAGTGCCAGGGATCCAACAACAGAAGCGAGCACCATAGTGTCATAAATTATGGACTTGGCAATTACGCTGGATAATCACACAGTTGTACATGTCGCAATACACTCAGGCTGGGGTATGTGAGATACGACAACGCACTTATGCCTCACACATATTAGACATCGAGGGACATTTACACATTAATAGACATAAGATTTATAAGACTTGGTTGTGAATTCGGAAATGCATTAATCAAGAACCTAATAGTGTATATTGCAAAAAAAATCGCCAAAGAGCTGATTTATTGACTTACCCTCGACACGAGTCAGTGCTGCCTCGTAATCCAGAATAAGCCCCTCGTGCGACGAGTAGAAATCTGCATATCGCAAGGCCTCGTTGTCCTTCACATTGAGGATTTTCTTCATAAACTCTAAGCTTTCTTGCACCTGACCAGGGAAAGCCCGGCACATCAAAGGTGTGAGGGTGTTAGAGTGAGAATCACTAGCGACACGAACTTGAATAGTGTTTTTACAAATAGACTTGATTGTTGTCTAGTGTCATCATTTGTTAAAAATATAAGATTGAATGGGCTATGCAAGTAAGAAATGCTGTATTTGATCCGTTTTCCATGCATGTCTAGCTATCAAGCTTGTTTGAAACGACATATTGGTACATTGACTTCCTTCTATTTGTTAGATAAAAAAATCAAATCAAGAAGCATTATTGTATCCATATCGTACCGCTTGATTACTGGCGGATAAATTACCAAAAATTGTATATAATCGACCGCAAGATTGATAAATCGTAGTATACAGATGTATATACGCACTCGAAAGATGTTCTGTGTATTTTTGGTTAGTCTATTAGATATCAGGCAAAAAAAAGTGTGTGGTTGGCGTACTAGCGCAAAGTGCAATACTCGGCGGCGACTAAATACTTTTAGCAGTCGGTAAAGTCGATGGTAGATGAGCGATTTGTAAAATCTGTGATCGTGTGACATACCCTTGGAGCTTATAGTCTAGCTGAATACAAACTGTATATCCTATACTCGCTTATGTTTGGTGAGGCTGAAGGAGAGACCCACATAATAGTTCGTTTATAGCCGCTCTATAGCTCTAGATCATTCCGTGGAGCCAAATACCAATATTGAATTGGACCACATACCTCATGGCGCAGTGCGTATATGATTCTTTTGAACAATATACACATGCCGTATGGAGAGAAGACAAACGGAACTCTGTGGCATAATAGAGATACTACCCTCGAAAACACAGTGTAGTGCAGTTGGACGCCAGACAAAAGAATCAGGCGGCTGAGTGTGAAGGCTCTGATCTAAAGTATCCATGTCTAAAATGAAGCACGCCCCGAAACACACCTCAACTGGTACGCCTACCTGAGGACATGGTCAAACCTCACACATACTCCAAATCACTAAAGACTGCTTGCAACACTGTATCACAACCGAACCCCGAATTAGCGGGCACACATTATTCTCAATCGCGTACCGACTGATTAGCTCGCCTACTGATTCGCTTCAAAATTGCAGACACGTTGGACCGATACCTGACGAATCACAATGAAATTGCAATCAAGCCTAGAATGTACAGCCTTACCTTCGAAGAAAGCCCTTCAAATAGTTGACGGGTGTGCAAGTCTTCCACGTGCGATAACTCCCAATTTTCGGGTTTGCGAATGTCCGCGAATCCACCGTGTACCAATGCTCGAATGTAATTGAGAGTAGCCGCTGAGTGAAAGTATGCCTACCGCGAGCGATGAAAGAAAATGGTTAGTACTAGAATAGTGTTCGCACGATATCAGTGAATCAAGAGCGCACTGTGCATCGACGTTTCAATGCGATAGAGGATATCTCTTATTTGCAAGAACCCATTAATTGGGCGACTTTTGCTCTGGATTGAGCCTTGTGTGAATACAAGCAGGTATATATAAAATGCTTGTCGTTTATGAAGAAAAACACTTGTATTTACTCTCGCGCCTGCTTATCCACCGTGTACCACTACTGAGTTGTAAGTGGGTGTAAGTGTCCTAAATAGACATCTGCCTCGAGCAGGTGATGGACGGAGATGGGACATGTAACAATAAATAGAGCTTAACAATATCTTCAGTTAAATATAATTTTTCAGATCCTAAGGCAATGTTTAACATCTCATTGTTCACTGACATATAACTAGATGCACTCATGGTGATACGCAACCTTCTTATTAGCCGCTGTTGGCTGTATATTGTCAAGTATAGTGATTGGGCGCCACACATCACAAGAATTTGGGGTGTGGCTATTTCTTGAAAAAAGGTCAAACTAATACTTCGATAATTGATAATTTGAGATGGAGGATAGTCCGGCGAATATTGAACTCTAAAAATGAAAGTAACAAGCTCATTTGGTGCCATCGATGATATATTGTGCTTCAGGAGACAAACATTTCTGTACGAATTGATATGTAATACGCTAAGCGCACACCACTAACCACAAAATTTTCAATCAATTGACATAGAAATGAAATCGAACGTTGACGATAACTTGCACATACTACTTGTACTTGCTCAAAACTTGAAGAACAGAAAGTAGTTTAATTTTCGACAATATGTGCTTGAGATACATATCGCACACGAACCTCCAGCGCTTAAATCTAACTCACCTTCAATAGGCGCTGGGGATCGTGCGTTCTGTCTTCTTTTTCCATGCCGTTTACGTTTTCTCCGCGGAAGGATGGAAATGTTTCACCTATCGAAAACGACGTGTGATTTGGCAATTGAAAAGTGAAAACCACGGTAAGAATTTAGCGGTGAGTGATTATTGCACATGCCGGTACAATGTCAATTTACAGATGCGATTGATAGAAACAGGATCAACTCGGGTACAAAGGAAATGGTGCTATATTCGGCTCCGTATCTTAACAAAGACACACACAACAGGGCTAATTGAACCTTGAACTAATGCAAAGAATGGGCCATACTCGCTGAATACGAGTGAGAGACCTAATAAATTGACCTGAATTGATAAAAAATCATAGAATATGTTTCATAGTTGTGATTAATTCATGTAGCTGTTAGCTATACCATGGTATCTGTTTACCGAGCCAATAACATTACCACATACCATCAATAATTTCTGTGGGCGACGATCGGGGCTTGCCGTACTGACCCGCAATTCGTGCAATACGCACAATTGGTAAATGCGCTCCATGTGTAAGAATCAACGACATCTGCAACATTATCTTCACCTGACATTTCGTTGAGTAGATAGCAAAGCATAAGCTCAAGCTTCAAATATAACGAAAACCAAAGATTTCATACTAAAAATTAGTGCTCCAATTGTAGTCACTGGGCAAGCTGTAAGTCAATACACGTGCGTTCAATTCAAAGGCCCTTCTCAACAGGCTAGTGCGAGCAGAACAGGTCCACATAAGTTTTTTTCGGACCGACTTGGAACTGTCACACACAGAAATTACAAAATGGCTTGTTACAAGCATAGTGAAGTGTGCATGGCAAGATGAGGTTTGAACACGCACTTAATGAGACTTCTTAAAAAAGGCATCACAAAGTGCTTTAGAAGTGTGACGAACAATCCCACATGCAATCCCACCACTGTAATCATTCCACTCGACATCACCGTCACGAACCGCTTAGCAGAATCATTGCGCAAAAAAAATATGGTAAAAATCAAGAGTCGTTTTCGACAGTAATGGAAGGAAATGCTTACAAAACATACTTCACCACATACAAAAGAGTTCACGAGTGGGGACACTACCTTATTTTCTATCTGGTTCTTATTGCAATAGGCGAATAATTCAGCACAATCTCCGCCTTGCAGTAGAAACCGTTTACCGTCTGCCACTTCCTTGAGTTGTGCTCTTAATTGATCAATCTGTTGGAAAAATTGTTTGGTGTACACAGATAAATTAAACGCAAATCTAACGATGGTAACAGGAGTAATAAATCAAGACGATGTTTATTAATTTCGTCGATACAAGCAAAAATCATTTCATATGCAGACTTGCATTATAATATACACATATGTACCTAAAAAGGTATATGTATGTGTGTTCGTATATGATATATACCTATGTATGTATATATCTATGCGAGTATGAATGTATGTATAATATTATGTATATGTATATAGATATATATATATATATATATATATATATATATATATTATATATATATATATATATTATATATATATATATATTATATATAATATAATATGTGTGTGTGTGTATNTATATTATATAGTAGTATATATATATATATATATATATTGTGTGTGTATGTGTGTGTTGTGGTGTGT